GGAGTCAGGGGAGCCCCAGGAGGGGACAGTGCTTGCTGGAGCAGGAAGCCTGCACTCGTGGCTGCCCTGGGGGGACAGCCCTGGGGCTGAGCCATGAGGAGGCTGGGGTGGGCGGGAGCCTGGTGGGTGGGCCCTGGGGCCCGGAGAGCACATGTACAGCCCTGCCAAAGGCGTCTTCGTACCAGCGAGAGCGGTGCCGCACCACGTGGGGGACAGAGGCCTCGGCACATCCAGTGCGGGCCATGAAGAGGAAGACGGTGCTGGGAGGCCTCTTCCCAGGACCCCTCGCCCAAGAACAGGCCCGCGCAGAGCAAGTCGGTCCAGTGGGGCTGGCCTATGTCCCAGAGGTGCACACGCAGGACCCCGCGCAGACCCGTTGGGTGCTGTATGTCACGCATCGGGATGACGTTTGGGGATGGTGGTGTCCATTGCTGTGGCAGGCTGGACCAGCAGGCGGCAACACCGAGGGACCTGCGCTGTGGCTCCTGCAGCCACCAGGGGGGCTTTGAAACCGCCCGAGTTACCGATGTCCACCAGCTGTTCTGCTGGCCCGGAGCCAGGTGGGAGCCAGGTAAGAGCTGGGGTGCGGCAGGAGCTCTGCTCACAGAGGCCTTGGTGGGCGGCTCTGAGAACCGGGCACAAGGGTTCCGGTTCTGGGTGGGAATGCTGGGCCTGAGTGAGCTGCCCGGCCTGGCTGTCCTCCCTAGTGCATGGGCTCGGCTGCTCGGTGGCTAATCAAAGTGCTCGAATGTGAGAGCCAGGATCGAGAGCAGTGTCCAAATGGCATCAAATGTCCTGGCAGAACGCGGGCCAGAAGCAGGAAATGCCACCGTGTGGGGGTCTCCTGGGCCTGCCGGGACATTGCAAATGTGCCACTTCAAATGGGTCTTCAAACACCGGGGATCGCCAGCCCTCCTGCCTCAAGTCACCTGTCTTCTGAGCTACTGGGTGCTTTCTCTGGCCACTCTCGCTGGTGGGGCCCAGCTGGTGGGGCTTGGGAGTCCCCACCCCCACCGCTCAGTTCACCCCCTGCAGACTTACACAGGTGACACACCTGCGCACTCCTTCCAGGGGAGATACACCACCTAAGGCCCCCCCCGCAGCTGCGTCTGACCCCGCACCGGCCTGGTATCCCCACTGCGTGGCCCCCAGTCCTGTCCACAGTGCTGCAGCTGCTTCCTGGCCTTGCACAACACAGGCTCCCTCAGCCTGCGCCGGGCTCCAGCTGCCCCAGCTGCTGGCCGGTGGCCATCCTCATTAACTAACACTCCGGGCTATCTGCCTCAGCAGGCCACCCTGACCCACACAGCTCGGCCTTGCGACCCTGCTGTGCAGCGCCCGACGGCCCCGGAACTTTCCTCCCTCATCCTCTGCACAGTTCCTACAGCTGCTCCTCCCTCAGAGAGGTCCTGGCTCTGGCCTGGGTGGCCTCTCTGGTCACTATGATCTGCTGTCCCGTGGGGACTTCGCTTGCTCTAGGCTCCAACTTGTGCCGAGGGCATGCTCCCTAGATCAGGGCCTGAGCCTCCCCTGGGCCCAGCTGCCCAGGCTTGTCCACGTCAGCTCAGAGCCGTGCACACCACCTGGCACGGCTGGTGACATCCCTCAGACCTGTCCCTCCCAATGAGCCACTGACCACCAGGGCTGGAGGTCACTCTTCTGCTGCTCCAAGTGCCCTGGTCAGGCCCCACTGAGCAGGAGGGAGCAGGGTTTGTGGTGGCACGGCTGTCTGCCCCTCCCTCCTGAGGGCGAGCTCGGGTCGGGTGGGCACGTGGAGGCCAGCGCCGGACTGGTAGGGCTGACCCAGCTGGCCCGTCTGCTGCCTGGCTTCCCCGTGCCGAGAAGAGCTGAGCTCCTTGGACTGCTTGTGCTTGTCCTCAGGTCAGTCAGGGAAGCCGGCCGGAAAGGGGTGCTGCTCCCCTGCACCCTCACGTGACCGGGGATGCGGGCTGAGTGGGCCGTGTGAGCACAGCTCCTTCCCTGTCTGGGGTCGCGGGCTGAGTGGCCCGTGTGAGCACAACTCCTTTCCTGTGGGGACACAAGGAGCCAGGCACACGAGCCTACGCCCCGCACACACCACGTGGAACGCACCCGGCGACACAGATACCGCCAGCCAGCGAGCACGTGTGCGTGCGTGTGTGCCGTGTGTCGGAGTGGGAGTGGACGTGCGGGTGGAGGGGTGCATGAGTGTGTGTCTGAGAGCGAGAAACTGCCCAGCCACTGCCCACTGGCCCTGGGACGTGCAGACGCACCCCCACCCCCATGCTTCTCCACTACGAGCGCTCGGAGCTCTCTACACCCACCCCTTTCAGTCTCCCCGGAGGTGAAGGCCACACCCGCCACATCCTGGATCTCTCTGCTAAGCCTGGGGGCATGGAATGACGTGGTGGCGTTCCATCCTGACCGGACACCGTTTCACATGGCACAGCCACACAAAGCAGGCTTGGTGGTGGCCTCTCACAGAAGGCAGGGAGTCTCCTCTGTGGACCCCAGGAGCCCCGGTCCCTCGAGGGCGGAGATGACCGACTGGCCTCCACCCACAGGCCGCCTACACTGCTGTGCAGGCCGAGTGACTTGGCCACCAATGTCATGGAACGTGGCCACAGCTGAGTGGATGCCCCTGGACAAGTAGGCTATGGGGCAGAGTGACCTTCGGAGATGGCCGTGGAGGGTGAACCATCCCTGCCAGGAGTCCCCACGCTGCGGAACACCCCGTGCCCTCCTAGGGGAGCCCCTGATCGCCCCACGTGCTGTTCAACCTCACCAAAGGCAGGGGCGGCTCGGGCAGACTCTGGGGGGGGGGGGGCCGGCACCGCGCGGCAGCCCTGGGGAGCCGGGTGGGGGC